CAAAGTGACGACCGGGGACAGCAACAGCACGTCCCCTATACAGAAAATTGCAAGCCTGGGAGTTGCAATGCTCCGCAGCACCCTGCATCCCGCGCTGCTGTGGACCTCGAGTCCAGCACGCAGAAACGCGATCATGAGGCCGTTTTTCCTCCTGCTCGTTGCGATTTTTCGCACGAGCGCTATGGACACCCCTGCTGTGGAATCGGACTACGTCCCTGCGTCGCACGTTGGCAAGGGACAGGAGCTAGCTCCCCAGCCGGCTGCGTTGGGCCGGAGGGTACAGCAGCACATCGATGGACCTGCGTCGCGCATTGTTTGCAGCACAGAATTGACAAGAGGTGGGAGGGTTATGGCCGTGCCCGACCGTGCTGGTGTGTATGCCGTAGACCCACCCGGATGGCCACTGCGGGTGGACGGCGATGTCCGCGGGTCTGCAGGTTTGCATCGGTAGAACAAGGGCCGCTCCCAGCCCGGAGAACATGAGGAGCGTCGTCGCCCGTCGAGCCACGGAACATGTTGTTGGCGCATCCGATTGAGGACTTGACAGCGATACTCTCACGAGACCAGCTTGGGCGGGCCCGGAGTGTGCGTATACCGGATGTTTTAGGGGCTGCCGTGGAAAAAATGACGGCGGCGGAGGATAAGAAGGTCGGTTGGTTTTGCGAGAAAGCCACTCTAAGTGCGGAAAAATGGATTGATGTAACCTGGTATTCTTTCCTGGCGTCGGAGAACTGGGTGAACATCATGTTGTGGGAGCCAAGCCCCGAGCACGGCACAGTTCAGCCGTACTCAGCAGGCAACACGGCAGGCATATTCTTGTTCGAGAAAAAAAGACAAAATGGACGAGGAGGGGGATCGGTGGGTGCATTTGCTCTATCGGAAATACTACGATCCGTGGGCAGCGCGCCTGGGGGGCCTTCCGGGGTATGCCGAAGCGAGGTTGAGATTGGAGCTGTTGCCAAACCGCCTAAGCTCCGAACAGTCAACTGTGGGTTGCTTTGGGTGTGTATATGCGATATCCGGTCTCAGATTTTTTATCCGGGGTCGGGAAGGTGGGTTTTCAGCGAAATTTGGTGATTTATTCTACTCAATGTATAGGAAAAAGCGAAGCAGGGGACACGAAATTTCCGTCCTCCCCCGGGGACAAAACGGGGATTTGCCCATATCTTGGCCAATTTGAGTGCTTTTTTGACCGCTGTTCCGGAAACGAAATCCCTACAGCTTGTTCCAATGGCATGGGGAAAAAGCGATGCAGGGGAAACGAAAATTCCGTCCCCCCCCGGTCCCCCCCCCCCGGTGTTTGCCATCGGGGTTGGGTTTTCGTCGCTTGGCA